CAGACCAGGAAAACCTAAATTTATCAGAAAATAATATACCTCGTAATATGGCTGTATATGCCTGTATATGATGTATAGACTTCTCTTAGATCAAAATAAATTTTAGTTAAGTCAATGGTATTCGCTATTGCTTTAAGAAAAGTGTCTCTTTAATCAAGAAATGTCCCTTTTCAATCAAGAATTTTTGCATGAATCAAAGAGACTATTGTTCTTGTAGCAAGAACTTCTTTGCATATTAATTTTGGGTCAGGAGTGAAATACTTTGGACAGATAGATTCTTCTATTCTCTAAAGTAATTTTTTAAAGCTTACGAAAAGATAGTTAATGCTTTGGGTAAAGAAACGTCGTTCTTGGCCCTATTGAAAAGCGCCAATCTTTTGGGTCAAAGTCATATTCGTTTCGACTGAGAGATCCTTTTTTTCAGTGCAGTTTTATGTGTTATGGTGTTTCTTAGCTTCAATCTACTGAGGTGTTCATTGAGGAGATAGGGTCCTGTTAAAAACCCCGTGACAATCCGAAGACTGCTCTTTCTTAAATAAAGGAGTATCTTTGATTTTCCAAGGTCGTAAGTCCTGAGAAATTTCTTCAAGTGTCTTAGGCTGGGAGAATTCCCATTCCAGGTTATGGATAGAGCCTTCCAGATTCTTAAGTTGTGTTTTAAGTTAGTGTCCACTTGGTCCAGTTATACACAATGTTCCTCATTGCGTATCTAGATCTTTTCATATCTGAAGTTCCCTCAAAACTTTCTTGCATTTCGGTTGCATGCGCGCTGCCTTCGGACTTTGGAAAAGCAGAAATGCATCGACAACTCGAAACTTCAAACTTTCCCTGATTAATAATTGCAGAAAAAGGGAACTGGGAAAGCGTAGAATAGAACACGGAAAATCGGTATAATTCATTGAGAAGTTAAAGTTTTTTAAAAAAAAATGTAACTTTATATTATTAACATATTAACAATGGTATTTTAGATTATTGATTTATCGTCAAAAACTCAAATTCGAAATGAAACTTTCTTTATCTTTAATATAACAAAGAAACCCTATATAAACACAACCAAACTTATATGGAATCATCTAATATTTTTCAAAATTTTTGAGACGTATGAACATTTTTTGTTTATGGATAAAACTCAGTCCTCACCAAAAACTTTTAATGAAAAATAATCCATATAGCAGTAAAAAAATAATCAGTTAAAAATAAACACAATGGTATTTTTTTGGTTTCTGAAACGAAACGAAATTTAAATTTTTAATGGTCAGAAAGCAAAAACGAAAATGAAAATTGATAATTTTAATAATCCGTGTTGCCACCTCCAGCCCTGATGCAAGCTTCTATCCGAGCTAGCAAGCTTCTTATTAAATTATCAACGTTGTCTTAGTGTATGTTTTCCCATATTTCTGCTAATGCTGCATCAATAAGCTGTGCGAGATTTCCCGGATGGTTTCGACGAGCTCTTTTGAGCTGGCCCCAGAAGTGTTCGATAGGGTTTAGATCTGGTGAACATGCAGGCCAGTCCAAAACTATGACATCTTCCGTTTCAAGACATTCTCTAGCCACTCTGCTGGTATGGTGAGGTGCATTATCGTGCATTAAGATAAAATTATCTCTAATTGCGGCTCTCTAAAGCCTAACGATTAGTTCTAGCACTAAATCAGCATCAACAAAAAGACAGAAGAAATGGTTAAACAAGGTTCATTCGTAGGTGGTTCAACCCTTTTGCGAAGTCTGACCATAGACCCAGGACAGAGACAGGCAAAAAAAAATCAACAAAAACAGAAATACAGACGAAACTTTAGTTTACTAACAGTAAGCTTAAGAGGCATCTAAAACTGATGAGATTGAGGGAAGAAGTTATGTACAGATTTTATCAATTTCAAGAGGAAACGACAGAACATTGTAAGATCTATGGAAGGTTCAGTCTCTTGCTAGATTTTTTGAAAAAGTTAGAACTGGAGAATATCATAACCTAAGGATTAGAAGAGAACCACAATAAGATCTCAAAACATAAAGATATCTAATCTAAGACATCTCTCATAGATCCATGGTAACAAGAACGGACCACAGATAGCCAAAAACAAATAACCAAGACGTAACGTAAGAAATCGAAAGAGAAAGAAATAAGGAGCAGCAAAATCGGAGCAGGCCGCGATCGCTGTGATAGACAATTGACGAACGCCGAGACATCTGAAAATCTACAGGGTCGCATTCTCGCATTCTTTCGGCCTCTCTTTTGTCACGTCGTATATCTTCGTCTTTGTTTTTCTTATCGCGATTACGGAGCTCTTATTATGGAGGGAAAAGGACAGGGAGATAGATATATAGGATGACGGGAGTAGCAGTTATTTTGGATACTAATTTCGATTTCGTTAGGTCAGAAGCAAGAGGTTTCATTTTATCAAAGTCTTATAAAAAATATCTTGGTGTATATGTTACAGCAAAAGTTGGAAATCAGTGATTGTTAATAATTACCAGTAACATTCACTGATTTTATTTTTTTTGGTAAAACGGTAAAGAAAAAATATATTTTCTTTATGGAGATCTATCAGCCCTGAAAATATTTGCACTTATAAGACTCACCCTGTATATAGTCTGTTCATTTATCGTAACTTTTTAAGATTTCGTAACTTTTTACGATTTCGTAACTTTTTAAAATTACGTAACTTTTTAAAATTTCGTAACTTTTTAAAATTACGTAACTTTTTAAAATTTCGTAACTTTTTAAGATTTCGTAACTTTTTAAATTTCGTAACTTTTTGAAATTGCGTAACTTTTTAAGATTTCGTAACTTTTTAAAATTTCGTAACTTTTTAAAATTGCGTAACTTTTTAAGATTTCGTAACTTTTTAAGCTGATTTTTTACAGATTTCTTCATTAAATAATTTGAAAAAGGTAGTAACTTTTCAGTGGGACAAATCAAAGTCGTATAATTCATGATTACAGACAAAAAAATGTAAGAAAAAAGCGAGATAGACTCGTAAATACAAAACTATTTCAATAATTCTCACGTAATACGTTAGCTAGCCCCTAGCAGCCTTGCCGACAGGAATTTCTCGATAATTATTACACTTGTCCCGTTTTTATTCGGCGTCAACACGTAGATATATAAGTAATCTAGTTTATTATATTTATTTCCGTGCGTCCCGTGAATTCGAGCGTTAATTAGGTAGAGACAGATCGGTTGAAATATCGACGGAAGACACGAAATAGCGCGAAACCGCCGAGCTGGGTAAACGGAAGTGGCGATAGCTCGGTGGTTCGATGAAAAGCGACCAGCTAATGAATTCGAACGCGGTTCACACCTGTTAGGTAGCCACTTATTCACGTGGCAAACGAACCCAATTACCTAGCACTAAACAACTAGTTTTATTCGTGACGTGCCCTTTCCTGTTCCGGCACCGTCTTTTTGTTTGTTATTATGAGATTATTACTAGTTTTTTACTCTATCCACTTCGATAGGTTCGTAATATACATAACTATGCAAGCTTATATAGGATTGTTGTTCACCACATACGACACGGAGTATTGTAACTAAACGATTAGATTTTTACAAATTGTAAGTTTTGGGTTCGTTGAAGGACTATTAGAGCTAAAATTTAAAAATATTTTTACACGATTCCGAGTGTCCCAAATGAGTAAAAAATATTATAGTTGTATTTTTTTAAATGAAACACCCTGTATATTATTCTATTTTTAGATTCTACGATTGAAATAAAAGTAAATTTGATTAAGGTTTATCACGCTTAAACCTTACCGTTTTTTGAGATATTTTCAATTTTGTGAAATTGCAATAAAAAAATTAAGGTTTCATTTCTCCAAGGGTATCAAAGTTTTTAATACTAAAGATTTACTGAAGATTATTTATTGATCAGATATTGTGTTGCAATAATAAAAATATTGCTACCTCATACAGAGTGTCTAAAAATTTATTTTAAATAATTGCCAGCTATTTTAAATAATGACTAGCTTTAAACGGCAATAACTTGTTTAAATTAACTGGAACATCCTGTATATTTTGAGAATCCGATGCACAATTTAATTGTCTATCAAACTGTATCATACCATTTATACCTATCTCTTTAAGTTTTCGTAGAAAATGCATTTTCTTATAATTTAGACCTCATTTATCAATATACCCGTGGAATATTGACATTTTAGATTGTCCTGTATATTCCATTGGATATTTACTATTCAGATATTTTGCAATGTCACTGGGAATTATGACAATTTTCGTTAACATTCATGGACAACTATTATTAACTAAGTACCTATATTAACCAACTCGAAACGCCAAGTTTCGATTCCTGGGCAAAGCCAATTTATTTATTAACTTATGGCTTTTATGACTTTATGGCGACTAAAAAAATAAATTTGATACTTGTTATTAGTAACAATATTCGGATTAACAAAATCAAGGTACAATGTTTTTCTCTTTATTTTGACTCTTATAATACAGTAGATAGTGTAAAAAATAGCTACTTTTTGCACGATCGATCGTAGAAAAAATATATTTTTGTCATGTAATTGTAGTAAAATGCTCCTCTCCGAAAGAAGAAATAGGTACATAAAAATAGTGATGACCAAAAATGCAAGACCAAGACCAACACTTCTACTTATACAGGGTGAGTGTTGAATAAGTGCAAATATTTTCAGGGGTGGTATATTTCGACCCTAGGAACACGTCTATGAGGTTTTTTCACAAAAAAAAAAACTTGCATTTACTTTTTAATTTTCCTGTATATTTTAGAAAAAATTTTAGAACTGCCTGTATTTTCCCACGGTATAATTTCTTAATTTCTGATAATATCATGGTTTGGTTCACGGCACTAAAAGATATGCAAATACAGAAATGATCCGGTGTGGCTCTCATTTTTTTAAATTTTAAAAACATCTTAAATTTTTAAAAACGGTGTTTCTTTTATCGAGATCTACCGGCCCTGAAAATATTTGCATTTATTTAAGACTCGCCCCGTATAGAAAGGAACAGATGTAAAAGGGAAAAATAATTATCGAACTTTATTAACCGCATTGAAATATGTTTCATGGCTAGACAATTTTAACAAATCTTGATAAATGCATCGTTAAGACTTTTTTCCATCTTATGAAGTGTGGCAAGTTACATTTCTTCATAAAATTGCTGTTGTAAAGGGTTCATATCTTGAAGAAAATCTGGGTATTGCTGTCTTGATGCAGAAATCTGAAAAATAAAAATCAAGAGTTATTTTTAAAGAAAGACAAAAATCTTAAAAATAAAAAAACACAATAGCCTTAAATTATTAACATCTAAGGATGTTACTGTAGAGCAATAAATTTATTTATTTTTAAACGGTTTTATTTAGCTCGACCCGTACGGTATTTATTTATTTGTTTGTTTATTTGGGTCAAAATTAGAAATTGAAATTTAAGTACCTTCCTGTTGTCAGATTGATCTGAAATTTGGTACACACCTTTAGTTCCGATGACAATACAATATAGTAATATCAATAACATTGTAAATCTAAGATGGCCGCCGGTCAAAATGGCGGATTTCATATTTTTCCACAGCCCCCTCAATATGGGTATCAAATGAAAGGGCTACACTAGTAGAATACTGTGATTATGACAAAATTTAAAATCCAAGATGGACGTCGTTACCAAATGGCGTATTAGGTGAGGGCATGAGTAGTCGTGTCCAGAACAGTTGTGTCCAATATTGTGTGACGTTAGAAGGACAGATAAAATAAAATAGGTGATTAGATGTACCTACGTAGTTAGCGGTAGCTTTACCACCCAAGTTAAGGTAATAGGTTAAAACGTGCTGAGAACTGTATGGCATTAGGGTGGCTAAAAATGTAATGTCGCAAGCGTTTTCCCCTCAAGATTCGGCGCCTCTTGTTGTATATTATAGCCTTGGCCCTCTACTGGACCTCTGGGGGGGGTCGACCGTTAAAATGTCCATTACTCGTGGGAACTTCAAAACCCAAGTGATGAGTTTGCAACAGACAAAGCGTTAAGGGTATACCCCACTAATCAGCAAGTAAACAATCACAACGCTGCTGTTTTAAATCTGTTCCGGAATAAGGGATCTCGAATTTATACCATTAAAGCACAGGACCAACTAATTGACGCCACACGAAATACAGATAATTTAAATTTAGCAAATATAATACCAACAGATATAAATAAGACTGGAGGCTTACCATCAGTACTTGAAATATTTGTTGGAGCAAAAGTAATGTTGCGGTCCAACATTGACGTTACAAAAGGATTGGTAAATGGTGCTATAGGCCACATTACAGAAATTGTTTGGCCTCAGTTCCGTCGAACCCAAATGTACGAAACAGATGTACCATCAGTTTGGATTGACTTTGGCACAGACGGCATACACGTCATACACCCGAAAGCTATACAGTTTCCAGCAAAATTCAATTATGGTACGGCTGAAAGAAGGATGTTACCCTTAATTTTGTCATGGGCATCCACCGTCCATAAAATGCAGGGCAGCACAGTCGACCATGCAGTAGTGTATTTGGGCTCAAAATTGTTTGAGGAAGGGCAAGCATACGTGGCTCTAAGTCGAGTCAAGTCTCTGGAAGGGCTATGTATTGAGGAATTAGATTGTAATAAATTATCAGGTAAAAAAACATGTAATAATGATGCACTAAATGAATTACATAGAATGAGGAATATTCGGTAGGCATTTCCGTTAAATACTAAAAACTAGAAAATAAAAAATCGGTAAAAAAACTTTTAAGTTAAACAGTTTTATCTTATGTGCACTGAAAACTAGAAAATAATAACAATTAGGTATTTTGAACTTCTAGTTCAGAAATATTTTAGTACTAGGCAGAATAGCTTTTAGGCATATTAGACTAAAATAAAAACGTGGGGCCCATTAACTATTGCTGTAATACTTTCTTCTATACTAAGTGTGGATAGCATCGCCTTACTATAATCGTAACTGGAGACTTTGACAATCAATAACCAGCCGTGGCGGCTTCACCAGCGAACGCCGAGCTCATGATCTACCAAAGTATAAAGATATGCTTTGCCATAGGTAGGATTTCGGAGGGGCCCCACGTTTTTATTTTAGTCTAATATGCCTAAAAGCTATTCTGCCTAGTACTAAAATATTTCTGAACTAGAAGTTCAAAATACCTAATTGTTATTATTATTTTCTAGTTTTCAGTGCACATAAGATAAAACCGTTTAACTTAAAAGTTTTTTTACCGATTTTTTATTTGTTGATAATACTGAGCAAAGACCAAAACTATTTTGATGTTGGTCTTGAAGTTAAGAAGTAGTTTTATTGTATTTTTCGTTTGAGTTTTACTTTGTCTAGATGTACTAATCCAAGCCACGGTGTACGCGGCGCAAAGGTACGACCAAATTGGCGGTTCTTTTGGACCCGAGCGCCAAAGACACGAAACGGATATAAAGCGATCGCTTTATTAGAGGATCGGATTTCTTCGAGCCACGGCGCTATTCAAACCAACATCCGTAAAGTAGTACCATTAAATGGCCGGTTTTTGGACCTCTTGTTTTTCTCCTCTTCTTCGTTTTTCTTCGCCATAAGAACTTTTTCGCCAGCGTTTTTTTTTTTCGTCGGGACTTTGCAGCTCGTTTGTGCCATTTGTATGGTACCTTGTCGGGCAAGGAAGTGTCTTTTCGGTATAATGCCGAAATTATAATGTCTATCGGTCTGTTAGAAATGGAATAATGGAGAATTTTTGTTGTGGGTTAAGAGTCCATTTCAATAATCTAAAATAAAATAATAGAAAAGTAATAAATAATAATAAAAAGTTTTTAGCAAAATAAGCGTTCGGCATTTAACGTTTTATGTAAAACTGGCTATAGGTATGTTTACCTCAAATGAAGAAGGAAATTAAAGATAAAGGATTATACTATATCCGTATTGTAGCACATCTTTAGACAACTTCTTTATCTTTAAGATTTTGATGGTCAAACATCAACTAAATATTCCTTATGTTTGGACTAAATTTTCTCGAAAATAAGGACATAATTTAGAATTCCGTTACAATACGGAAATAAATTGAAGTTTTGTGATTACAGTGATATATAATTTATATGGTTTTGTAACAAATTACTCGCTATTTTATGGCAAACGCTGCAAAACCTTAATCAAGCCTTAATCAAAGCACGTGTGTTTGGAATTTTGGATGTGGCTTAATTAACACGACAGGATCTGGCTAAGCCAGGCAGATTTCTGAAATATAATATAATAATATTTTTTCTTCGGTCACACACCCGCTTTACCCAGCCCCTTAGAGCGACCCGAACAGTACAGCGTAATAGGGCTCTTAAGAGGAAAATAAGATAATAAGTCTCTATTTTGACTTCTATTGACTTTTCTTGTTGTTATCGACTAAAAACTCGGTGATGTCAAGCAGAACACTAACAACCTTTCAAAGAACAGTATCTTATTAATTAGTACCGCATGATCGAATAAAAAACGACATCAAATAAGTCTGGGTAATGACAATAATTGATAATAGTCATTTACTAAAACATATTATTATATTAAACTATTGACATAAAACTTGACACAAAAATTAACAGAGAGATTAAAAAAGGATAGAACGTTTCCAGACACAAAATAAGTACCTAAATGACGTCTAGGCTATGAGTACGCCAAAATTATCATCGTTTGCCATTCTACTGCCGTCTTTTACCGACATTTTTTTTATAGAAATATAGAAAAATACAAAGGTTTCTTCACAATCAACAATCAGTCACAAGCAATTATATTTTTTTAGCTTAGATTTCAATAGAAACCCCCATAGATGTACCTATATTGTATAAAAGCCTAAAAATTCAGAGCTCGTAGTGCTAGCGCCATCTACCAAGTGTTAGACGCACTCACCGAGTATGGCCGGTAAGTATTGATTTACAGATGCCCGTGTTACGGGAATGCAGTTTTCTTTAGCAGTTTTAGAACCAAACCGACATCCCGAAAAAAGAAATTTAATTTTTGAAATATATTTTTTTTATTAATATATTTTTTTATATAGGCAAATAGTTCTGTTTGTAATATTAAATAAAATATAAATAATTTAGATCCATAAGCTATTTTTTTACAGAAGAGTTGGCTATTTTTGGAATGTATAGTGATAAAAAAATTATACCGGGTGCGTCTCAAAAGTGGCTCACCCTTATAACTTTTTTAATTTTACAGATAAAAAAACGAGGTTTGGTATGTTAGTATATGACATAAATTAGGATTGATTGACGTATTTGATTGTTTTTGATCACTTCCTGTTTCGCCGGAAATTACTACAACTTTTGATTTTTAAATGGCACCCTCGGTATATTTTAAATTTATTCGATAGAAAATGACACTCTGAACAGAATGATATATCATATGTCAACTTTTGACATTTTCGCTTAAAACAAAGTTGTATTTTGAATTTCAATCTAGAGTAGTAAATTAGTGTTAAAAACACGAATTTTTAGTCAAGAAGGCTTAGAAAAATAGATTTGATCGAATAATGGTTTTAGTGTGTTGTCTTAGTCGGTTAAAAAATGCACAAATCGTATTTTTAATATATCAGTTTTTTCAAATGGAACGAGGGTGGCTCATTAGCATATTTGGAAAAATCATTTTTTACGAATTATTTGGTACCATACACTTGGTATTTTGAGTCAAATTGTCGTTATGAATGACATGTTGCAAGTTCAAATAAACCATATTCGAAAATGTCAAAAGTTGACATATAATATATCATTCTATTCAGAGTGTCATTTTCTATTAAATAAAGTAACAAAATACCGAAGGTACCATTTGAAAGTGAAAAGTTGTAGTCATTTCCGGTGAAACAGGAAGTGACCGAAAACAATTGAATGCGTCAATCAATCCCAGTTTAAGTCATATACATAACAAATCTCGATGTCGATTTAAAAAAAATAAAAAAGTTATAGGATTGAGCCACTTTTGAGATGCACCCGGTATACCTACCTACGTTATACTTAGACTTTTTTTGAAAAAAAAAATCAAAATATGTAGGAGTACTATATTTCGACTTCATTATCAAATTAGGTACTTTGCTTTTTACTTTACGATATTTAACATTAAAAAATATACAGGATGTTCCGTTGGTTTGGTTGTTTCATTTTTCAATAATTCTCTCTTCAATAAATTTAAATTTTAAAAATATTTCCTACGGATTGTCATCCATTGTAATCTGAGCCTAAATGTGATCATTGACAGCTTAGCCTGGACGCACACAAAAAGAGCAAAACTGTCCTAGTTAAAAACGTTATAACTAAACGTTCTTCAACCCAGTGTGAGTACATATCAATGTAAAACCTCTGACGAGGGGTAGGGGACTCAAAAAACTCACAATTTTAATAAACATCCTAAAAGATTGTGAGTTTTTTGAGTCCCTTACCCCTCGTCAGAGGTTTTACATTAAAAACGTTATACCTTAATCTGTTATAAAAACATTAACTTTCGAAATGAAGCAAAATGTGTTATTTAAAATTAAATTTGCACTGCAGGAGATACAGAACAGGTCCCGACTAAAAATGTTTTAACATAAAACGATGATTCGTTGATCGATGTCTTGCCTGACTGGAACTAAATGGGCCTAGACCTGACTAAAACTGTTTTACTGTGCGTCCAGCCTTCAAATACATAGAGTAACTTTACATACACTGGACTAATATACAGCTGCTACCTTTTCACTAGAGAGAACGAAATATGCCTGCCTCGCCTCTAGCTAATAGCTAGAGGTATCGGATAGCAAAACAGAGCCCGATTTGTCTAACAAAGAGAGGGATGAATTAAGCGTATCGATTTCGCGGTGAAAACCGATCTTTTTTGAACTTGCGGTTGGTAATTTTACGACAAAACTATCTCTGCGTGCCCTTCGAAGGGATCGAGGTACTTGTATATGGGGTCAGATCAAAAAACAACCTTCGATATGGATACGGCAAGATATTATTAATATCTTAAAACTAGTGATTAGATTAGATTTTGTTCCACAGCGACCTTTTCAGGCCTATTGTGGTCCTTTTAACTTTTTTCGTTTGTCTTTGCCTCTATTCTGGTGGATTTTTGATCCTAGTGATTTTTTGGCCACCCGGTGCTTTGTAGCCATCCTTGTGACTGCTTTTACAACGCCGCAGAAGGGTTCTGGACCTATGACTTGCACATTGATTGTATGGACGTAGATTGACATAAATTATTATAAAGAAATTGTGTGTGCACTATGTGCGCATATTTGAAGTGGGATATATATTTTTTATGAATGCTTTTTATAAACTTTAAAAAAATTAGAGTTAATATAAAAAGAAAATCAACTAGCCACTTACCCAAAACATACATTAATCCAAATACCTAAAAACATTCATGGCGATTCCAACCACTAATACTAAGACACATACAGTTGGCAGTTGGAATCGCCATGAATGTTTTTAGGCATTTGGATTAAAGTATGTTTTGGGTAAGTGGCTAGCTGATTTTCTTTTTATATTTTTAAAACATTGCTTCTCCTATTAGAGTTAATATAAAACCGTATACTATTCTAGCTTTATAATTTTATGTCTTTTTAACTTTTATTAAAAGACCACCCGGCCGGATAGCGTTAGAAGCTGTGGCCATTAAACCAAAATACTACTACATCTATATATCTGACTACTACTAACTACTAACTAACAATTTGTTTTGTGTGGTCTGTGGTCTGTTTTTGTTTAATTGTTTTGTTCGTTATTCATGTTGGGGACTTATTTTTAAATTGATGTTAATCGTTTATTGTTGTTAATCGGCAACCAGTAAACTCAAAAAATATGTATTTCTTTTGGATAATCAAAATTGTCACTCTAAATCGCTGTCTTCTTTAGACAGATGTCACTTGTTTTGTCATTATTCAATTCATTATTCTAATTCTCAGAATGTTGTTAACAAAAATTTCATCTTAAAATAAAATTTTAATCAATCACATTTGTTTATCTCCATCATAGTGACCAAAATACAAGTAAATGCGTCAATCAATCTTAATTTTTTTAATATACTAACATAACATACCAAATCTCGTTTTTATATATGAAAAAATAAAAAAGTTATAGGGGGTGAGCTACTTTTGAGACGCCACTTTTGATTTAAAAATATATAATTTAACCATCTTCGTATCAGTTCTGCTTTACGAGATATTGCTGTATGTATTGTAGCGTTTTTTTAAACAACTACCACTGCGAACGGCAGCTTTTCATCGGAGAGCAGTCGTGGATAAGGTATTTCACTGGAAGGAAAACTAATTAAGAACAATAAACAAAAAAATAGATATTGGGCGCCAGGCATGTACAGAGAAAGAAAACACAGTTGTATATTACTTAAAACTAATGACTATATTTATTCATGATGAATTCTGATGGTAAATAGCATTGTACAATTTTAATAATTATTATAGTGGTTATTTGTTGAGTAAAACTATGTATGTAAATAATATTAAATATGTTCTATGAAAAGACTATGAAAAAATACAATGCGTGTAACGTTATAGAAAATATAAGAAAAGTAGCATTACTTTATTTAAATTGTTAAATTTTATGCAGTGTTAAATCTGATATGTGGCAACCTGTAGATTCTAGAATCTATGTCTCGTTATTCATCTGTTAATATAG